AACTTTCCCTGAGAGGTCCAAGATAAAAAAAAAAAACTTTCCCTGAGAGGGCCAAAAAAAAAAAAAAACTTTCCCTGAGAGGGCCAAAATAAAAAAAAAACTTTCCCTGAGAGGGCCAAAAAAAAAAAACTTTCCCTGAGAGGGCCAAAATAAAAAAAAAACTTTCCCTGAGAGGGCCAAGATAAAAAAAAAAGCTTTCCCTGAGAGGGCCAAAATTAGGATCAATCGCAGGGCTGCGGGCCAAATGCAGTAATATAATATATGAAACATAAATACTTATTAAGTAAAGTTGTTTTATTTTTTATGATTAGCAGCCAGTGTGGTTGCCCACATTCTTTTTATTTGTTTGTTTGTTTGTTTGTTTGTTTGTTTGTTTGTTTATTTGTTTGTTTGTTTGTTTGTTTGTTTATTTGTTTGTTTGTTTGTTTGTTTGTTTGTTTGTTTGTTTATTTATTTGTTTGTTTGTTTCAGTCCATGGACATGGAAAAAGTTCAACATTTGCTCGGGCAGCAAACACTCATGGGACTTCTCATAATTTTCATAATTTGAGTATATGTGGTCTTATAAGGTTTGCAAATCTAGACATGGGCTAAAATCTAATCTAAATGTCTCTTGTAGTTACTTGTATATTATATTTAATCTTAACATAATTCAAAGATAAAGTGAGTACGATGAGTTAAGACTATCTGACTACAGATCCTTGTACGTATAGTTGGACCAATGGTCGAAAAGACTAAGTGAAAATACAGTATTTCTACATAAGACAGAAGATTACAATCTAGTAACCAGGACAACTGCTGGTGGGCCAAATCAAATGGCCCCACTTTGGGCACCTCTGCACTAAATTTACGTCAAACTGACTAACAGAATAGAATAGAATAGAATAGAATAGAATAGAATAGAATAGAATAGAATAGAATAGAATAGAATAGAATAGAAACAGCCTTTATTGTCCCACAGAGGGGATATTCAGGCATAAAAGCAGCAGCAGACACATCAGTCAACAAAACAATATATTGCAATGCAACATTATCAACAGAAGCAATACTAACAGAATTAAAATAATAATATTAAAACTTAAAGAATAAAATAAAATTACTGTACAAGACTATAAAAATGAAATAAGATAGAAATAAAAAAATAAAATACTGTGCAGAAAAAATAACAAACAGTCAAGACAGACTGATGATCCAAGGGGTTGTGCAGTTGAGTCAATTTAAGTCATTTCTGGCAGTGTGCATAATGTACGTGTGTCATGTTGTACAGGGCATGATATTTATAGACTAACATTTGGTACCAACCAAATTCATAATGGCTGCCATAGCCAACGTACCTTAGAAAACACAAAGTGACTATAACTCAACCAATAAAACAGACATCTTCATCTTTGGTGTGGTAGTAGCTGAGCCTAATCCCCAACACATAATCTGATAACAGTATCACATAACATTATGATGATAGGAATTCCTTCCAGAAACTCTAGAACATTCACTTTCACATTCAGGGGCGATTCTAGGGGCGGGGCCACAGGGGACCTAGG